TGGCTCGTTCTGCAAAGCACAGGTCGGCATGAAACTGGGAAGCCAGCCGTAACTGCCAAGTACTTTTAGCTGTTGTTAAAACATCACATGATTGGCATTTAACAGTAGAAATACTGTACTAAATGGCTCGAGTATTAGTCATGGGTTGTCAAACTAAACAGAGAGTGGCTTGGAAAGGGAGCACTATGCAACCAAAGGTGCATTAAGTAAAAGAGAGGGGGAAAAACATTGGCATGGAACCAAAGCCAAACAACAGTGACTCACCAAGCCAGTTCTTCCTGCTTACACCCTGTTCTTGCTATGTTCTTGACTGCCTCTCTATTTGGATAGTTTGGGTCAAGGAATCCATTAAGAGAGCTATCAAATTCTTCTTCAAGGCGGCTCATCTTTCCACAACAACAAAAACAATTGCTCATCTGGTTCCAGTGTTTACACTGAAAGTAGCTTTCTTTTGAATCCAGACGAGCTCCTACAATGGGTGTAACTCTGTAGTTTCCTCAAATGCAGTTAGGAAATAGATGGCGACCATGTTTTTCCAGATTGTTTTTGGTTTTGAGCTTGGGATTTCCTAGTGGTCTGCTATCCAGTATTAGATTTTTGAGATCAGCTAAAGGAAGGTAGATTTTACGGCACGCGTCCCGATGACGTAGCAGGAAATCAAAGACTCGGATCAAGATAGTAAGAGAACTGGAGCATAGTCAGGGGTGGGCTTCAAAAATTTAGCAACTGGCTCTCTGCCTGGTTGCTGGGTGGGCGTGGCCAGTTCGCTGAACCAGCCATAAAATTAGCTACTGGTTAGCTACTGGTTCATCCGAACTGGGGAGAACCGGTCGGAGCCCACTCCTAAAGACAAGGTAGATTTTACTATATGCATCCCGATGACGTAGCAGGAAATCAAAGACTCGGGTCAAGATAGTAAGAGAACTGGAGCAAAGTGTCATTTGAACTAGGCTTAGATGTCTGTTGATGCTACAGGTGTGCTTGAAATATATTAACTTGCATAACTAGCCCACAATTGAATCCTTGGATCATGTTACATTCTTTGTCTTCCTCGTTTATTTCACAATATCACAACCTGTCCTTCTTTAAGTAAGCCTTGGAGACCTGGCACTTCTACAAGTCCGGAGATGAAGAGACTTTGGGGGAGGTGTTATTAAATTAATTAGTTCATGCAGATCATATTGTTAGGGTGTTTTTTTTTTAAATGGTTGTTTTTATTGTAAGCCATCCAGAGTTGAGAGATTTGATCAGCTCTATCAATTTAAATTAAACAAATCAATAAGTAATTTGTCCCAAATAATAAGCTCCCAACCCAAATCAATAACAACTTCAACTTCAACTTCAACAACTTCTTCTTCTTCTTCTTCTTCTTCTTCTTCTTCTTCTTCTTCTTCTTCCTCTTCCTCCTCCTCCTCCTCCTCCTCCTCCTCTTCTTCTTCTTCCTTTTCCTCTTCCTCCTCCTCCTCCTCCTCCCCCACCCCTTCCCTCCTCCTCCCCCTTCTTCTTCTTCATCTTCTTCTCTCTTCCTCCTTCTCTTCCTCTCCCTCTCCTTCTCTTTCCCTCCCTCTTGCTTTCCCTAAGTCGTGTATATATTTGTTCATTTTATTACAGGACTATTCAAGCCGAATAGCTTGGTTATGAGCTAGGTCAGAAATGCTCCAATTTAATCTCTAGTCTTTTCCAAGGAGAACTGAGAAAAGCATCTAGGGAGTTATGTTTCCAAATCAGTATTACCAGTACTAATAATGGGCTCAAATAATCCTCCCGAGTTTCCAAGCCAGTGGGGGTGGGGGTGGGTTTGGACTAGATTACCTATAAGGTCTCTTTCAACTCTGTTAATCTGAATAAGGGTCTATTGCATCCTGGACGAACAGCTTCACAATAAGGCAGGCAGGTAGAAAAACGACATGGCGAGAACCCCAGGGTAGAAAGTGCAATTTTTGGCCAACTGATTTCAAGCAGCAAGCCAAGGACATAAACAATATTGTGAGGAAAAAATGGCCTTTGTTCTCCTTTACCATCTCACTTGAAAATCCTGCCTCTTATCAATCCACAAAGTTAAGAAAATCCCCTTGTAGGTGGAATTACAAACCCTAGCCTTTATTTTATTTTATTTTCCAGAGGAAAGCACAACAGGCAGCGGTGTCCTTCTCCAACCAGGAACATCTAAGATGAAAAAAATTAATCATATGTGATCCTTCCCTCCCCCTGCAAGTTTCCCGTAGAACAAGTAGAAAAGTCCTTTACTTTCCGAGTTATGGGTCTTTATCAGATTTACCCAAAGCACGCCAAGAATTCAAGCAATGAGGGTGTCTAATTACGTTTGAATAGGCAAGTTTTTTAGAAGCAAACCTCCCCGACAAAGTGAATGTCACCAAGGCACAGCAAACAACCAACAATTTTGACCTGAGTTTAAAATCAAAATGTGACTAAATAGTGATTGCCAAATACCAATGGCTCCATCTATCTTTCAGCAGCATTTCACACCTGCCCTATTTCAAATCCGCAAGTTTGGGTGTAAATATTTGGAGAAACTTCCAGCATATCTGAGTCACTCACTAGGCCTTCCCCTCCTGCGCTACATTTCCCTGGGTATAAACGCCTGGAACCTAGTCCTCATTTCAGTCCAGAGGTGGGATTCAGCCGGTTCTGACTGGTTCTGCAGAACCGGTAGCGGAAAATTTGAGTAGTTTGGAGACCTGGCCAATCCCACCTCTGACTGGTCCCACCAACCCCCTCTATTCTCTGCCTCCCATTGAGTCCCAGCTCATCGGTTGGGTCTTCTTTGGTTGCCCTGCACAGGAGAACGGAGCTGGAAAGCAGGCTAGTGGGGTGGGGATTTTGCAGTATCCTTCCCCCGCCACACCAAGCCACGCCCGCCAAGCCACACCACGTCCACCAAGCCATGCCCACAGAACTTTTTTGAATCCCATCACGGTTTCAAGCCCCCTGAAAAATGAGTGGCGTGGGACTTAAAAAATGAATAATTTTAGAGCTGCCCAAGGACCCCTTGATGGGGAAGCTTGAATGAATGTGGCGGCCTCTTAAAATGGGTGCCTTGAAATGCAATTTTGTCCCATCATGAAATGAACAGGTGATAACCTACGGAGTGGGATGGATGAGTAAGGGAGGAGGACAGGAGATTGGAAGGCTTTTGTCGCTTACATTGTATTTTACTTTTCCCAAGATGATCAAAGGCCTGGAGACTAAATGGCTGCAGGTTTTGGGTTTGGTTAGTCTAAAGGGAAAAAAAAGGAATTAGGGGTGACATGATAGCAGTCTTCCAGTATTTTGAGGGTCTGCCACCAAGAAGAGGGAGTCAAGCTATCCTCCAAGGCACTAGAAGGAAGGACAAGAAACAACAGATGGAAACTGATCAAGGAAAAACAACAACTGAGAATTAAGGGAAATTTCCTAACAGTGAGGACAATTAATCAGTGGAATAGCTTTCCTTCATAAATCATCAGTGCTCTATCACTGGATGTTTTTAAGAAGCGTCTAGAACAATCACTTATCTGAAATGGTGTAGGGTCTCCTGCTTGAGCAGGGGGTTGGACTAGTAGACCTTCAAGGTCCCTTCCAGCTCCATTCTATTCTATCTATTTATGTTTCAGCATGCTCCATAATCCTCATTTCTTAGAGGAGAACTACAGTTAGTTTGTTTTTTAATTCTCCTGGATTCAAAAGTTAGAACATCATTGAATGGGACACTACCAGATAATCCTATCAATGTTAATTGCAGGAATTGGGTATGTCTAATCTAGTGAAAAGAAGGACCAGGGGTGACGTGATAGCAGTCTTCCGATATCTCAGGAGTTGCCACTAAGAAGAGGGAGTCAGATTATTCTCCAAAGCACCAGAAGGCAGGACAAGGAGCAATGGCTAGAAACTTATCAAGGAGAGAAGCAACTTAGAACTAAGGAGGAATTTCCTGACCATGAGAGCAATTAACCAGTGGAACAATTTGCCACCAGAAATTGTGGGTGCTCCAGCACTGAAGGTTTTTAAGAACAGACTGGACAGCCACTCGTCTGAAATAGTATAGGTTCTCCTTCTTGAGCAGTGGGTTGTGCTAGAAGACCTCAAAGGTCCCTTCCAAATCTGTTACAGGTAGTCCTCAACCTACTTCACTTAGGGACCATTCAAAGTTACAATGGCACTGAAAAAGAAGATCAGCTTTTGCGACCTTTTTAAAATATTTTTATTGGTTTTCTCTTTCCATACAATAAGCGCTTAATGAACAGCATACTGTCTGAGGCCATTTGTGTGCATAGCAATACTTCTTAAGTTCCTAATTTCTACCCCTGTTGTCGTCCAACCATTTATAAAAACCATTCTTGCTGCTGTTAAAACACGGAATATCAAATACGCAACCCTCCTTTGTCATATTTGTTATGCCTCACCAAAAAATTAGTTCTGGCTTAAAATCTGTAGGAAAATCAGCTTGGCTCCAGCTTTTGCAACCTCCAGGCAACCCAAATCATTGGAGAAGCCATATTCTCTTAGCAACTACATAGTTTCAATGATTCCTTTAGCAACAGTGGCCCCCATCCCCCCCCAAAAAAAAGAAGTCGCAAAACGGGGTGAAATTCACTTCACCAATGTTCCGCTTAGCAACACCTACATGTCGGGCTCATGTAAGACGAGGAGTAGCTGTATTTTCTGTCGTTGTAACTTCCAGCCAACCGGGTCCTCTTTTTTTTTTTTTTTTAATCCCCTTGCCATCCTGTCCTGGTCTTTCTGAGCTAGCAAAAAGTCAAGGAAAGACACAATGAGCAAGAGTGACCCGTGTCTTTCTAAAAAGAAGAGGTTGAGAAGGGCTCTTTTTTTAAAAAAAATAAAAATAAATTCCAAGGCTGGCACAAAAGACAGATGCGGTCAGCCAGCCCTCCTTTTGAATCCGACATGCCTCTGGCTCAGCCAACAGAGGGTTGAGGCAGCTGCTGACGTCAGAGCCAGTCTGGAAATGGGATGCTTGCAAGCTTTGTTATTTCAGATCTGAGCTGGCGGGAAGAGTTGCCGGACGGAGGGAGCTGCTCTCTCGCTCTCTCTCATTCCCTCTCCTCTTAGGCTGAAACTACAATGCTGTAGGCTAACAGCGGGTTATACCGGGCAGAAAACCTATGTACATATTCCAGAAAGCCATGAGGGTAAGAAAGATTTTGTTGTTGTTTTTCCTCTTTCCTCTTGCTTTTTTCTTCCTTCCTTCCTTCCTTCCTTCCTTCTTTTTTGCTCCCTTTCCAAGGGTAAGCCGGTCAATATTTGAAACTCAAAGAAAAGTTGAATGGAAGAACAAAAGAAAGCAAAATTTGATGGATCTGCCGTCTATACTCTAGGCAAGCTGTTGAAAGTCAGGTGTAGGGATATTCTTAGCTGTCCCGGCTCCCATGGGAAAATGTAGTAACTTAAATGTTAAAGAGAGTTGAAGGGTTTTTTTTAACTCTTTCTATTGTTGTCCAGCGAGGCTGATTCGTTCCTGCTTCAAACTGCCCTTTCTGGTTTGGCTTCGGCAGTTTGGCTGCCGTTGGGTAAATAAACGTAATAACAGGAGCCTTTGGAGGCAGCGTTGGAGGGAAGAAAAACAAGCCCACATGCCTTTGAACGGTTTTATTTAGAAATAGGAGGGCTTCAGCAGCTGCATTCTTGGGTCTCTCTTGACAGCAAAGATAGACATAACAAGTGCAGGGGACTTGCAAGAGCCTCCCTACGGGAAGGTGTGCGATTGGTTTTGTTTTTGACTCAAAGGATTCTTAGCGTGCCAGAGGTTCTTTCATGCGAACGCTCACCAACTTCTAACTGGAGGCTGTGTTTGTGTGTGTTTTGCTCCGCTTCCTGAAAAAAAAAAAAATAGCTGGCCTACCACGGCAGATGGATGTTGTTCATTTGGGCACTTTTCCAACATTCGCTGCTTCGTTTGGGGAGGCATTACAAGGCGATATTTGCCACCCTTTCCTGTAGTGGAATCGGCCGATGGAAAGGAAGCCAGCCAGTCCACTCTTCTCAACTTTTCAGTCTAAGGTTGTCTTCTCCCAAATGTGAAGGACCGATTGAGAGATCCTCGGGACAACCAAAGAGGTCTTGGTTCATTAACCCGGACGTCAAAAAATGAAAAGTGCAGCTCAATTTTTCTGGGAAGGTTTGAAGCCACTAACTTCCTGCCCGTGGCTCAAAAGGAACTCAGGAGCTTCCCAGTGAACTGAGAATGAACATTTCAAAACAATTTCCATATTCAAATAAACAGAAGAACAGAGCAGGAAGGGACCTTGGAGGTCTTTTAGTCCAACCCTCTGCTCAGGAGGAAACCCTACATCATTCTGGACCAATGGCTGTCCAGTCTCTTCTTGAAAACCTCCAGTGATGAAGCACCCCACAACTTTCTGGTGGCTAGCTGTTCCACTGATCAATTGTGCCCACCATTTCTCTTTAGTTCTCGGTTGCTTCTCTCCTTTATTAGTTTCCATCCATTGCTTCATGTTCTGCCTTCAGGGGCTAAGGAAAATAGGTTGACCCCATCCTCTCTATGCTACCACTGGTTGATTGTTCTCACTATGAGAAAGTTTCTCCTTAGTTCCAGGTTGCTTCTCTCCTTGCTTAGTTTCCCTCCATTTCTTCTTCTCCTGACTTCTGGTGTTTCAGTGAATAGGTTGGTCCCCCTCTTCTTTGGGGCAGCCTCTTAGCCGTTGGAAGCCTGCGTTGCCAGACCCATCTAATCAGAAATTGTCCCTGTGGTTTGCCTTACACTGAAAATGGAAAGAGCTGCTAATCAGCTAGATTCCTGCCTGGGAGAGCATGCTCAGAACAAACCACAGGTGGCCGTTTCCTAGTCACAAGGACCCAAGTTGGCACATTGGATGGTAAACGACACTGAGCAACCTGTGCCCGTTTCATCCCAGGGGACGTTGTCAAAGAAAACCTTGGACGCTTCCCAAAGATTAAACAATGGGTGGCACAAGTACTTTCTTTTCTTTTGAGATCCTCTGTGGAAGGGAGACAACAGAAGTGGAACCTGTGTAGGAAGCGAATTAATCTTTGCTCATTCGAAGTGGCTGAGCGGAATCCTTCATTTATTAACATGTTTATGTCCTTCATCTCACCAATAACAGCAGCTCTGTGCGGCTTACAAAAAGGTGATACAAAGCGATTAAAATTCAAAGGGTTAAATCAAAAGCATAAGCATCACAAGGATAGGTCCTTTCTCCTTGACACAAAATAGGGAGAGCATTAAGAATGATCTTGGGATGTTGGCAAGATATTTTGTAGAGAGTAGTTTCGTTATTTATTTGGGTTTCTGTCACATTCTGCCAACTGTCAGGAATTCGATCCTGACCGTCTCAAGGTGGACTCAGGCTTCCATCCTTTTAAGGTCGGTAAAATGAGGACCCAGATTATTGGGGGCAAGAGGCTGACTATGTAAACCACTTTGAAAAGCATTGCGAAGTGGTATATAAGTCTAAATGCTATTGCTATCTATTATCTATCTAAGATAGCTAGATAATATCTATCTATCATCTATCTATATACCTGTATCTATGTGTCTGTCTGTCTGTCTATTATCTGTTATTTAGAACTGTAGTGGCTAATTTTGCTGACTGTCACCAGTTTGATCCTTACCAACTCAAAGTTGACTCATCCTTCCATCCTTCTGAGGTGGGTAAAATGAGGACCCAGATTGCCAGGGGCAAGAGTAAACTACTTAGAGAGGGCTGTAAAGCACTGGGAAGTAGTACACAAGTCTAAGTGCTAAGTCTAAGTGCTTATTGCCATTGCTATCTTGATATGTACCTGTTGGAGCAGAACCAAGATCCATTTTGCTTTCTCTTTTCAAACATAGCCAGTCAGGTAATTGCATGTCTGGGATTTTTTCCTGTGTGGTCTGTCTGACATCAGCCTCTTCTATAGGAGAGCTGTTGCCCTGAGCTTTCAGAGCTTAGAGCCTCTTAAAGACTCATCTTTGTCAGAGGCCAATGTGACTCCGCAGGTAGCTAAAACCTTGCAGCTGTCAAACCTGGTTTGACAAGAACAGGAAAAGTTCAACAAAGTTCAAAGCAAAATGACGATTGGTTGGAGAGTCAATATATTGTTGGTGGGAGGGATCAACATTCTCCACTCGGTTAAAAACAGTCCATTCCAAGGCCCAGGAAGTCAAGAATCAATAGGGATGTGGAATGGAGAAATGCATACAAGAGGCAGAACGTAGAATGATAGGGCTGGAAGGGTCCTCGGAGATCTTCTAGTCTAGCCCACCCACCTCCACCCCCGCTCAAGAATTGAGCTCTGGACATGGATATTGTAAACATGTGTATTACCCTGACACTTATACTGTAATTCTATCTGAGAAATAATTACGATTGAGACCAGGAAGTGCTATTCTCAACATGGACATACACAGAGTTCACGATCAAACAGGTCACCCAGTAAGGGTTGTACACTTTCGACACTTTTTTCAGCTACTTGGTTTGATCCGTATTTCAAATGTTGAACTTGACTTCCTTTTTCACTCGCATAATTCAGCGAATTACCTACGGTATTCTGCTTTGAATGATATTCAGGGGTTGCTACATTTGTCGAGTTCCATATAGCATGTTTTTGTCGCTTTGGGTGAATTAGAATGGTTTTACAAAGCCGTATTTTCAGAATCAGCATAGAGCTGGAAGGGACCTTGGAGGTCTTCTAGTCCAGCCCCCTGCTCAATCAGGAGGCCTTGTACCATCCCAGTCAAAATGGCTGCCCAATCGCTTCTTGAAAATCTCCCATGATGGGGCATCCACAACTCCAGGAAGGAAGCTATTCCATTGATTGATTATTGGTTCTCGCTGTCAGAAAATTTCTCCTGAGTTCTAGCTTGAATTTCTCTTTAATGATCTTTCCACCTGTTACTTCTGGTCCTGCCCTTAGGCCCTTTGGAGAAGAAGTCAATCACTTCTCTGTGACAGCCCCTCCTTTTACTGGGAGACTGCTACCATATTGTGTGAAACTGTGTGGCAAGATCAGGATTGATAAAAGGGCTCCTTTGTAGAAGTATGTGAAGGTGGACAATGTAGAAAGTAACATTCTAGGCTGGACACTTTTTGCATTGTCCATCTTCACATGCTCCTATGAAGAAAGGTCCTTGGTGCTCTCTGAGCTTGGCGGTTTTCTTGAAGACGTTTCTTTACCAAACTAGGTACTATCATCAGGTCCTTGGTGTTCTCTGAGCTTGATTGTTTCCTTGAAGACATTTCATGCCTTAAACTAGGTACCATCATCAATGCTAAGACTGATGAGGTTACCTAGTTGGGTCATGAAATGTCAGCAAGAAAACCACCAAGCTCAGAGAGCATCAAGGACCTCTCAATTCAACCCTGAACACAGTTTCACATGCATGTCATCCGTACCAGGACAGAGATGGAAGGAAAATAAGGTCTCCCTCCATCCCAAAAAATTTATAATATGCATCCAGATTTGCAGCCCACCAGGAATTTTATCCCTGAAATGGACAAAGTGAAGTCCCAAGCAAAGTCAAGCCATCTTCTAGCTGATTCCCAATTGTCAAACTATCCTGTGCTCCCCAAACACAATGCCTTTTGACTAAAGTTATGAAATGCCACTGAAAAACTACCGCAGAAGAAGCCCTTTGGCATACAATCACCCCGTCTCATTCCTCAATTAGATTTTATTTAGCTGCTGTACATTCTGTCTTCAAATTCCAGTTCTCGTGACTCACTCCCAACATTTGAATGGCAAACTTTGGACTGAACTGCGGGAAGAATGCTCCTGTTTACTATTAGGAACATTTCTTGTCCTAATTTGTAAATAGCCATGCAGAATGTGTTGGACAAGATGTACAAGATCTATTTTTAACCGTTTTGAGGAGAAACAGTTGAAAAACTGTTCAACTGTTTGTTTCCTTTTTAAAAAAAAATGCCGTCTCTTAGCATCAGCACTGAGGGTTGAGTGAACAGAGACAAATTCTCAAATTGTTAGATAAATATTAAGGGTGATTTTGGAAGAAGCTGCCTTAAAAGGAAAGAGAAGCTTGGAATTACCACTTTACACAGCAAAGTATCTCCAGCACCTGTTTTAATTCTGTGCTCATTCCACATTCTACGTGTAGTATTTCTGCTTTGAGTTTGCCTTTTTTTTTTCTTCTTCTCCATAAGTGAATACAGGC